CAGCCAGGTAGTGGCGATCGTAACGAGGAATGAAGCGAAGTAGGGCGGCGCCGTTAACCCTTGAGCATTAATCGCGGTGAAGCCCATGTCTTCCAGAATTGTGGGAAGAAAGACGGGCAGCGAGGAAAAGCTCACATTGCAACTGAAGTACATCAACTATACCATCATTGTCAGCATACCACTTGGTTGAAAGAGCCACCGTAACGTACCGCAGTGAGCCAGGCCTTCGCATCCAGCAAGGTCTGCCACAGTTCCTTCCAGTTAATGCCGGTCACCCGCTCGCTTTCACCGCTGCGTCGAAGCGACCGGGCGCGCGCCACCTCTTTCTCTTCTTCGGTCAAGAAACGGGCTGACGCGGGATGATCAGGCAAGTAGAACCATGCTAAGAAGGCTGCCACAAGCGAGGGGCTGCCTTCAACCAGAAAAAGCAAGCGCCAATTGGCGATCTTTGCATGCCCGGAAGTGATGCCATATGCAAGAGCGCCCGCAAATGTATTGGCTAGAGGCGCAGCTGACAAGAACAAACCGCAGCGGAGGCCGAGCTCTTGACGACGATAAAAGAAGGAAAGCAGATAGGGTGACCCGGGACCAAAGGCTGCTTCGGACATGCCGAGCAGGAAACGCAGAGCCATCATCCCGCCCCAGTTCTGTGCTGCGGCTTGGCAGGTCGCAACAATGCCCCTGCATCAGTCAGAAATAACGAGCGAGGTACCTTAATGCTATGGGTCTGTACATACCAAGTCATTACTGTGATAGCTGCCCACCTATGAGGTGGCATTATCTTCCACATTAAAGCCAAAAACTCAAACAGGGTGTAGGATATATAAAAGATAGTCAGGAGCCATGTATAGCGATTTCCCGTGAGGTGCAAGTCCTCTTCCATTCCCGCGATTTTGGCATTTCTGGCACGATGTCAGGCGACAGGTCACAGCTAGTATGCAAAGGTTGAGAAAACGTACCCGATATTGCTTCTATCCAGAAGGGAAAGAAGATCTGCATGTACACATCATATTAGATATGCTCCAAGAAATACCAAAGGTGAAATGTGACAAGGCAGGATAAAGAAGCAAGTCGGATGAGCGGTGAAAGTGAGAGTGCGGGAGTAAGAAAGAATATTGGAACTTACACAAAAACCCTAGCAGCGTTGGAACCCTCAAGTCCAATTTTCTCAACAAGCGCGCTTCAACTGCGGGATCAATGGTAGGTGTGACCTGAGGAATCTGAGGAAGCGCCGTGTGAAAGTCCTCATCATGAGCGACTTGTTGCTTTTCTGGATCAGGCCCCGGTGCCTCAATGATGGCATCGACATGGCCCGTAGTGTCACCGGGAGCTTCCCTCTTGCCAAAGAAACCCATGACTCACTAAACGGAAAGAAGAAGTAAGAAGTACAGATGCAGAACTCGGACCGAACAAGGACAGCCTGCAGGAGAATGAGGGCGGCAGCAAGATTTATAGCATCGGCGCGATGCAAGAGGGGTGCTTCGCGTGGTCTGTCACCAATAAGACCTGTTTGAATGCGAGCCACGATTACGCGAATGTGTTCTCTCCTCTCCACGCCCCGCAGGTGAGGGATAGTGACGTTAAGCAGGGGTGGGAGGGAAGCGGGAGAGAACTACTGGATAGATCGGACGAGACAATTGCCTTTCCAGGGATAATGCCATCGCTTGCTCAAAGCCGAACGGCACTATAGGAGGGCTACACTCCAAGTGCATGAAAAAGCCGAAGGGGAGACGCATGGGCTCGGGTCAATGACACACTCTGAAGGACCCAATCATGACGAGTGCGGAGAGAAATCATCACTGCGCGGTGGGTGGCGGGTCAAAGCTTGGGTCCAATCCAACCGAGTTTTGCGAAAAGGCTTGGTTGGGAAGGTCGCAAAGGCATTGGGCGACGAAGGAGAAGAAGCGGCTGGATGTTTCAATATGAGTCGTTGGATGACCCTTGCCGACTATACTGCATGGTTCCCTCGCATGGACATAACGGCAGTTTGTGTGCGAAACACTGCAAGAATGCTGGATCGGTTAGAAAGATGAAGCAGGACATCAGGTTCCCTTGACGATGGGTCAACTCCATTGACTCACTCCACGTAGGATGATCTAGTTAGTTAACTAGTCTGGGGGGGCGGCTAAAACCATAAGACCCCAACATTGCGGGGATTGGAGACTCGGATGCACGAATTGCACGCTTGGGGAAAGGATTAATGTGGGTTTTTCCGACGATCTCTGGCCAGCCGGGATCTCGTCTCAATCGGGAGCTATGGCAGCCTGATGCTTCAGGCAGGTAACCTGCATGATGGGTCTCTCCCGTCGCCCGCAGGGGCCATGTCGGGAATCGGCCAGGAACCTCAAATTTCCGCGTCGCGTTGGCCTTCGCTGCTCTCCGTCCACCAGTCTGCGCTCGATTGTCGCCTGTCGGCCATCTTCATCACCGGATGCGCTTCGAAGTTTCCATCCGCTAAACATCCCGCGTGCTAGGCGACCACCTTGATACCCATCTTCCCTAGTCCTTTCACGGTCTTTAATCATCATGGACGACCCAGCGAGCCGTGTTCCCGCGCAGTTGGTAGGTCATCCAACTGAGACGTGCTGCTGCATAGTTAGAATGTCCGATTGCTAACCAGCGGCGCTTTCACTCGCTCCTTAGCTGCCGCACATGCATCTGGTGTCGCGGCACCGTTATCCCCTTATGCATATGATGCCCACCGACACTGTCGTCGAATACCTGCTCTCCGCGCCCAAGATCGTCCGGGAGTCGCAACCGATGCATTGGACGTTCCTCGATGGCCCGCAGGACGGTTCTGTCATGCTCACCTGGCAGCCATTGAACCAGCTGGGAACCAACTTTGCTAGCGACGGTTATGTCTGGGCCGACGTCGAACAAGCGTTCACCTTCGAAGCTCGCGGCTACGTATGCGCATCCTGACCCTCTCTCCTACGTTGACGCGCTGATGGCTGACACGGAATGCTCCAGCTGGTGGAGATGTGGCTGCATCGCAGTGGTTATCACCCACCAAACGAGACCCTGGCTATCCACTGCCGCAGACGTTACCGACTTCTGCCGTCGAAGGTCCCTAACCCGAACGTTCCTCCGCCTGACCCTTCCCTGTGGATTGTTCACTACTCGAGAGGTCCTCCCACCGACCACATCCCCGCGAACCGGATCCCCGTCATGCCTCCAGTCCAGAACATGCTGGCTCAACGGAGGTTCCTCCAGAGCCAAGGCCAACTCGCGCGCAAGGACTTCATGTTACACGATCGCAACAACTGGCCAGCCATCAACTTCCCTCCGCAGATGGCTCCGCAAGGCTTCCCTCAGGTTCCTGGCGCATACCCGAGTGCCATGGTAGGACGCCAGCAGTTCTACCCCCCACCAGGCCCCGGTGTGCCGCCTCCGGCCGCTGCCACACCCGCCAAGGCCGCCCGCGGGCATCGCGCTTCATCTGCTGCAGTCAACGCTGCCACAGCCGACTTTGCCCTTGAAGATGAAGACGTCTCGACTGGGGATGCTATGGACTTGCTTACTCCGCGCGAGATCAGCAAGATGAGATACCAGCAACACCACGAGTGGATGGAGGAGATCTTCGCCTCACCGTATGCTATCAACCAGATCACTCCGGTCTCATTGGGCCTGGGCCGGAAAGGAGAGCTGGAGTCGTTGACGGCGGGATTCTTCGATGCACCCGTTGGACCTGCCAATGGAGAGACGAAGGATGCCAACGCGTCAAGTCAAGCCGCAGAGAAGATGGAGCCTGCTAAGGCAGAGGAATTCGCTGACCGTGTCGCTAAGAAGGTCGCTGACATGACAGCTGAAATTGAGAAGCTGAAGAAGCGTCATGCGCGTCGTATGGAGAAGTTTAACCGCACCTCGCTGTTGAAGGACGCAGAACTCCGGCTCCGGGAAGCCGCAACAGACCCTGCAGAGACTGGCACAGAGACATGGAGGTTGGAAGGTCGTGTTGTGATGCCTTCGGAAGAAGATGACTCACAGGCTCCTCAAGTAGAGAACCCGGCCAAGTACAAGGTTGACGACATCGTACGGGAGGTGGAGAAATCGTGGCAACGACAGATCGTACCGGAGCCCAAGATCTCTTGCGTGCAGAAAGGTGGTCTGCTGGAAAAGATTGAGTCTGAGCAGAAACCCGAACCCCAAGCGGAAGGTGATATTGATATGGAGAACGCCGACAGCCACTTCCTTGACCAACTGGGCTCACCCTCTGCCGCTGGGGCCATTCCTGCTTCTTCCACCACCCAAGAACCAGCAGCAACGACAGCCGCACCCGCCGTTCCTCCCACAACCAGTGTACCTTCTGGAGGCGTACCCGTGCCACCGCAGCCACAGCCCACCGCCGACGCTACGCAGCAGGGTACGTCTCTCGATATCGACATGGATATGGGCGACGGACAGGCGACGAACACGGCCGCTGGGGAAACAGGCGACTGGGTGATGGTCAACGACGAGAAGAAGGATCAGCCTGCTGGCGGTGATAGCTCCCTACCGGGCATCAGCACCCCGGGTAGTGGCATCCAAGGCCTGACACCCGGCAACGGAGGGAGTGCCGGGGACTCTGCGCTGGACGGGGCCAACTTCGATTTCACGAATATGGATAGCGCAGGCGATGCGCTCGCAGCGTACACCGAGCAGAATGAAGGGCTGGATCTCCCGGACCTGGAGAACTCGGCGTTTGGTGATGCATTCCACGCATCGGATAATGAGAACACCCATCACCACGATGCGGACGACATGGCTTAGGATTGCTGATCGCTGGGTTTCGGGAATTCCTTGGGGGTGGGGACACGGTGTTTGCGGTGCTCTTGTAACCAATAATTGGCGCTGGGTTTGCTTTGCTTGAGCCCTTTCCGTGTAGAGAGAGGGGTTGTGAATGAGATTGCTCCAATACCTATTAAGCAGCATTGTTAATCCTTGTATACTAAAGTAGGTGGTGTCCGATCTCGGAGGTATGAGGAGTTAACCATCTGCACGTCAAAGCTGATTCTGCGCCTTGACTAGGTCGTAGCTCAGATCAAGGCTTTGTACCGACCATGCAGGGCCGATGGAGAAGTCACCAGACCAACTTAGCAACATCATGTACATTGTCCTAACCCATACTTATCCCACTTCCACTTCCACTCCCTCCACCTTCATCCCCATCTTTATCTCTGTCTCCCGGAACCATTCCAAAAACCTCGCTGCACACCCATGACAAAAGTTCATGTAGAAACTAGCACCACCGCAGATATGATGCGCCCACCCGATGTCCAATAACCCTCATATCATCCGCCTAAGTGACGCTATCACCGGGCCCGACCATCCGCATGACAGGTTACCCCGGTCAAGTGATTCCCGCATGGCTATCAAATGTACAATGTATATAGAAAACATGGGTATCTCCCTCCGAGTCTTTCTCTTTTGCTCTCTTTTTGGAATGACTTTACTCTGTGTTATCTACAACAATGATACCTACTAGTTACAATTTACATTTCCCCAAGAATTAAGGCCTATCGATATCCTACCAGCTATACTATACATACTATACACTCAATCCACACTTCTCCATCCAAATCCTACACCACAAATCCAAAGAAGAGGAAGAAGAAGAAGCAAAAAGAGAAGAATGTGCCTCCCACCCCTCTCCGACTCCCTCTCCCTCCCCAAACTCCTCAATCTAAACCTCGACTCTTCCTCCTCCCGATCCTCCTCTCCCTCACCACCACCGCGATTCCACGATCGCCATCACCACCACCATAGTAGCCACCACCACCACTTCCGCAGACGACGAAGATCCAACAGCTCATGCAGCACCTGCAGCGACACCACCAGCTCCAGCTCCACTACGACCTCCATCTCCATCCGCCCCCCACCGCGAAGCTACCACCCCCCTCAACCGTCTCGCAAGCCTCCGCCTCCACCTGCTCCTCGAGAGCGGGAGCGAGATACTTACCGAACAAGTCGGAGTAAGGTTCGAGATGTCGAGGAGACGTTCATCCCGCTGCCGCCAGCAAGGCCTGTCAGGATTGCGAGGCCGTGGCCGCGGCCGAGATTACCGCCCCCGCCCCCGCCGGTGGTGATTGATGTTAGAGAGAGAGAGAGGGAGTTCTGTCGGTTGCCGGATGTGGAGGCGGAGGAGGTGGAGTGTGTGGGGGTTTTTGAGCCTGAGGAGGAGCGGGAGAGGGTGGAGGAGTGGGTGGTTATGAGGGAGAGAGGGGGGTGGAGGAGACCTAGTGGTGGTGGTATTGTTAGTAGGGAACGGGGGAGGTGGAAGGAGGAGGTAGTTGAGGATGAGGAAGTGGATGAGGAGGTGGATAGAAGGGAGGAGGATAGTAGGAGGAAGGTGAGGGTTGAGTATATTCGGGCTCGATAGTGGAGCGGTGCTGTGTTTGTGGTGTTTTGGCTCAAGTATATAGATTCGTTTTGCATATGCGGTTCTTTTCTCAGATATCATGACTCTTGCTTGGCTTCCTCTAGGGGCAGTCTTGTCGCTCCATGAGATACTCGGTACACTTCACGTCTACTGTATAGAGTTCAACGAGCAACTAACTTCCCTCTCCCATGGAACCATCGCGATGCATCATGGCTGGGCTGTACTGCAACCGGCCGATGACCTCAATGCCCATCCGTGTCCTCCGCATGACGTCACGGTCTTTGTCCAGAGGGTTCTTCTTGTTCAGATGCAAGAAATAATTAAACCATTGATCAATGCAATTTATCCCTCGTGCCCCACAGAATTGATCTATCAATGAACCGATCGTGGGTTGACTGGTATAGCTACTGCAACTAATTGTCGATCATCGGATAGGATCTGCCATCCGTCCGTTCCAGAAGAACGTATCATTCGAGGAAGGTGCAATCCTTTCTCTATCATTGTTAGCTCGTCGTACCTGTTTTAAACTACCTTGTGTTACATTGAATTGTGAGAGTTGGCACCGTGGATAACCTAGTTAGTTCGCAATCATGTATATCGCTCCCGTCTCTCCAGGCACATTATATTGTGATACTGACCGGCTTAGGAATCGCAACCTCTCCCACAGAAGGAGAAGCTCATTGACTGCTCGTCCTCGGTTCCGCTTCTCTACGCTGCGCGGCTTTCAGCAGCCCGAGCTGAGCAAGAAGCTGAACCAGGTCATCAAGAACGAGAATGCTGCTATTGGTGCTCATGAGAAGGCTAGTCGCGAGCGCGTGTCTATTGCATCCCAGCTGTCCGAATGGGGTGAATGGACTGAAGACGATGCTGTCGCCGATATCACCGACAAGTTTGCTGTCCTGATGGCCGAGATTGGCGAACAGGAGGATACCTTCGCTCAGTATCTCGAGGAATACCGCATTGTGCTGAAGCAAATTCGCGACACGGAGAACTCGGTCCAGCCGTCCCGCGACCAGCGGGCCAAGATTGCAGATGAGATCCAGAGACTCAAGTGGAAGGAGCCACATAGCCATAAGATCGATACCCTGGAACAGGAATTGGTCAGGGCGGAGGCTCAGAGTCTCGTTGCTGAGGCGCAGTTGACTAATGTGGTAAGTATTGAGGTCAATGCAGCATGCAATATCGCAGAAGCTAAAGTTCGAGTTTAGACCAGGTCGAAGCTCAAGGAGGCATTAGACATCCACACTGCTGCCGTCATTGAGCGAAACGAGAAACAGATCTTGCTTGCTCGTCATGCGCGCCGCGTACTGGAACAGCTGGACGACACCCCGGTCGTTCCTGGTGACTCCCCACGCGAGTACGATCGCACATCTTCTACGAGGCAGATCCTCGAGGAGGCTGAGAATGATCTCCGTTCTTGGGAGAGCACCACTGTGCCTATCCAGAGTGCGGCAGGGGAGCTCCCGGACAGTACCCTTTTGCCAACTGCCGCCCGTAGAGCTACCAATGGCCGCGCATCATATGCGGCTGACACAGCCGTCTCGGACTCTGTGCGGGACGTCAATGGTTCTGCGGAACCTTCTTATGGCAATGGCGCTGGTCATGAGAGATATACAAACGGCACTGGTGTGGAGCAATATGCCAATGGTACAGGCCAGGAGCGATACGTTAATGGCTCTGGCCAAGAACGATATGTCAACGGCACTGGCCAGGAAAGATATGTCAATGGGAACGCTGCGGAGCGACAAGTCAATGGAAGTGGCCGGGAGCAGTATACTAATAGTACCACCACAGGGGCCTATGCCAATGGAGGCAATGCGCGATATGTCGAGGGAGTCGCGCCGGAAGAGTATGTGGATCGAAGTGCGACAGAAGAATATGCTGGCCGTTCTCAGGAGCAGAGCGCCACCGGTGTGACTGAAGAGCAATATAGCAGCCGTGCTCAAGAGCCAGTCGCCGCCAGTGCTGGCGAGGAGCGATACCCTGGTCGCCCTCTAGGACAGGTTTTCACTAGCGCTGCCGATGAGCGGTATGCCACCGGTGGCACAGAGGGGCCATCAGTCTCCGCTGTTGAGGAGCAGATCACTCCTACTGCTGCACAGGACATATACTCCAGCCAGACAGGCCGAGATCAGGTGGCAGATGGATCTGTCCGGGAGGAAACTCTGAAAACAGAGGAGGAAGAGGGAGTGCGACGAGCACCAGATCCACGCCTCTCATACACTTCACGGGGCTCCGAAGCTCCGCAAATAATCAGCCCAGTCCCGGTGCAGGCTCCTCATCCTGTGGCAGTCCCCATCTGAGCTGAGGACTGGGGGTAGTGTATTGGGTTCTAGCTGTGCTCGTTATCTGTAATTGTAGTTCTAGTACGTACAGTATTTGGTTTATATGTATAGCCGCTCTAAAAATGGGAGCCCTGACACAATACCGTCAACAGGGTGGCTGTTATTGTAACTAGTTGAGCAAATATGAAGTTAAATGCAAAGTAACTACATAGTAACCAGACAATTGGTGGAGGCTCATCACGTGATCCAGGCGGCCAGCGTGACGCGGACGCCGGCTTGGGAGCTCCAAAGCATCATCTCAGAGCTCCGAGCTGCACCCGCCATCGCCATCTCCCTCTTCCATCTTCCCTCTCGCACCCAACATTATCCTCCAGAATATCTCTCCTCGTTGCTTCCTTGAATCTACCAACACATCTTGCACAACATGGATAAATTGGTCGCTCAATACTCCCGCCCGCCGCATCAGAATGAGTTCTACTCAGAGCAAGAGCAGCGGGACCTCACAGAGAGCCTTCCTCCGCTCTCTCTGAAGTTTAACCTGCCTCCTGTTGATAACGTGAGATATACACCTTGTGAAGCTGCTTGTCTGGGATCAGGTTGTGGAAAAAGTCACAGCTACCTTAGATTGGGCTGACCACCGGACCGACACTCCTACATGCCTCTTACCAATCGCGGAACCAGTGGCTGACATCTTTCTGTATCTCCAGTCTAGAGCCTTCCTCCGTGCTATGACCGATGACCACTCGAATCCCAGCTGCCCCATCAAACTTGCCCATGGAACGACGACACTGGCCTTCCGATTCCAGGGCGGAATTGTATGCCGTCATCACTGCCTCCGCCACGTCTCGCACTGACCATCGTTCTCCTAGATCGTCGCTACGGATTCGAGAGCTACTGCTGGAAACTGGATTGCGAGTCAGACAGTCAAGAAGGTTATCCCGGTTTCGCGGTTGAGCCGCGGGGAGGACAAGCCGTCAAATGAGCCCACTCCCGGCCTTTTGGGCACCATGGCCGGAGGTGCTGCGGTATGTGCTATCCTTGTGGAGAAATTCGTGCTCTATGTTAGGGTTATGAACTAGTATGAATAGCTGATGACCGGTCATAGGATTGCCAATACTGGTTGAGATATCTGAGCCAGCAATGCACACTTCACGGCAAGTTCAATTATCCACTGTTTCCAAGAATTTCATTAACATCAAGACAGAAATCCGTCACAAGCGCCGCATCACTGTCGCCGCTGCGTCGAAGATTCTCGCCAACCTGACATATGCCTACAAGGGAATGGGTCTGAGCATGGGAACGATGTTAGCAGGAGTACGTGGACCCTTCATATAAACATGATGCATCGATGCCCAATCTAACTCACGACTATAGATGACGCCCCAAGAAGGACCCGCTCTCTACTACATCGACTCAGACGGCACCCGACTCCCCGGAAACCTGTTCTGTGTCGGATCCGGTCAGACCTTCGCATATGGTGTGCTTGACGCCAACTACCACTACGACTTGACTGAGGAGGAGGCCCTCGAGCTCGGCCGCAGAAGTATCCTTGCTGCCATGCACCGTGACGCGTACTCTGGTGGTTTCATCAACCTGTACCATGTCAAGGAAGAGGGATGGGTGCACCACGGCTTCAACGACATGAACCCGATATTCTGGAAGACGAAGCTGGAGAAGGGCGAGTTCTCGAATGTCACGTCGGAGTTGTAAGCGCGGGAAGTGCTGATGGGTTCTGTATGGTGGATATGATACTCTTATTTTAGGCCTAAGATATTTATTATGTGACGCTCCTTGATACAGTAATCTCAAGAGTAGTCTTGCAACCATGCCAGAAAGCACCGAGACCAGTACTACCGACATCAATGCAAGCCACCAGTCAAAGGTAACCCTGTAATTGCTAAGCAAACAGAGCCATCTATCCCATAAGAACCAAATGAAAAAGATCATAGTTATATGAAAAAAGAAAATAGATACATAATGCATACATAACATACATACATCCCCAAGAAGCCAAACATCAAGCAACTTCATAGCGTAGAAAACAAAATCAGTGCTGAAAATGCGCCCCCATTCTAACAACGAACAAAAAAGAAGGTTTGCTTTTTATATCATCATCCCCCAACACACACAGATAAAAATAAAAATATAGATATATGCACCCTAATTATCCACCCAGAACTTCATGCGAATACCCATAGCCGCCAACTCAACATCCAAGTATCTCAACACACCGGGCACCGCCACAACGGTAACATTATCACCACCAACATAGCGACGACCATCACCATCCTCCCAGACATCCGCGCGGGAATCCTCAAAGACAGCCTCCCTAGCACAACGGCGACAACGAACAATACTCGGCGCTCCGCTAATAGCGTTCGCGCCAGAATGCTGATTCGAAGCGGCCTTCGCAGCGGCAATACGAGCCTTGCTTGATCCAGCTGAGGACACAGCCACCTGGGTGGAGAGGAAGGAGCCGCAGTCGCGACAGATCCAGGAGCGGGTAGCATCGGAGCAGTTCATGAGACGGTCCTGAAGGATGTGGGCGGCGCCGTGGGCGATGAGGGAATCGCGCTCCATTTCTCCGACACGGATACCACCTCCCTTGGCACGACCCTTGACGGGTTGGCCGGTCAGTTGGTTGACGGGACCGGTGGTACGCACTTGGAACTTGTCGTTCACCATGTGACGGAGACGTTGGTAGTGGACGACACCGATGAAGATGTCGGCGGCGAATTCCTTGCCCGTGATGCCGCTGTACAGGGGCTCGTTGCCGAAGTAGTTGTATCCGGCTTTGCGGAGCTGGTGGCCGAAGTAGTCGGCCGCGGTGTTTTCTTCGGAGAATTGGAAGGGCGTGGAGTCTTGGGGATGGCCGTGCAGGGCACCGGCTTTGCCGGCCATGGATTCGATCATTTGGGCGATGGTCATTCCTGGTGACGATTAGTGGGGATGAGTTTGGGGAGGCTTGGATTGGGGAGGAGGAAGGCTGGCTTACGAGAGGGGAAAGCGTGAGGGTTGATGATCAGATCGGGCTGGATACCACTCTCGGAGAAG